ACAGCAGCTTCTGGGCTGTCAAGCTTGTACTTGTCTTTTTGGAGCCCATTGATGATCTTGAAAGCAGAAAATATCCACAACACATTGTGCTCTGGCCAACACATCTCCTGTGCAGGGACTTGGAAGTTGGGCTAGTGCAAAATATGTGGACCAGATCTGCATGGAAGGTGTCAGGAGATGGCACATTCCCATCTCTTTTCATCTAACACAGAATAAAGCTAGCTAATTACAGACAAAGCTGTTCTAAACTGAAGTTGACAGTCCAGGCTTTGTTACCTTGAGAGGAATGGAAAATATCCTTGGTCTTTTTAATAACCTTTCTGTTGTTTGTGATTGAGTATGATCCAATTGCTCTAATGGAGGAGAATATGCACAGCATGAGTCAGCAACACTTTCTTCCTGGAAGAGCTGACAGTAAAGAAAGTTCCCAAACTCTCTGCAGAAATATTCCTCCCCCCAGATGAGGATCTGGACTGCATCCACCAATACCTGCTGGTGCCTCCCCTTGAGATGGACCTGTACTTGTCTGACTGGAATATGGAACAATGCAAGGTTCATTTGAGGTTAGAAGACACCACTCAATGTGCAGCAAAAGCACTTGGGAACCTGACACAGAAGAAGAGAGGGAAGCCAGTTGCAGAAGTTCGGAGTGCCAGGGCATGTTCCAGCAGTCGGGAGCTTTGAAATGAGGCCCTTGACAGCACTGGCAATGGGAGCATGTTAACAATTCCAAATGCTTAGGCTCATCTGAGGTCATCCAGTAAACAAGACTGGGTTGTTTCTTGTAAAATACACATCTATAGCCACCAGCTAAAGGGTGGTTGGGAGCAGATTTGAAAGCTACTAATCAATATGTGCATTCTCCACTCTGTGATAGGAAAAAATAGACCAAAAATTCTTGCCCTGTTAGGATAAATTAAGTAAGGTGGCGTATTTTAAAATACTAAATCTTCGAAGCATGCAGTGGGCTCTTAGGTAAAACTATGGACTTCAGTGAAAAGATGCTAGGAATGAGTTTTCCCTGCTTTACTATATACTCCCCTCAGAGATTAACCCCCCTACCTACCAACATTGCCCTGTTGCAGTGTTTGTGTTGTGTTAAGAACAACCATCTGATACAATGTTCCACCAAGTGAAAGACTGTGCACTGAAACGGGCCTGACATCTGCACAGTCTCCCTGTACAAATCCATACTTCCACTGGAAATTTTTGCCAAGCAAAGCTACAGTCTGATAAGCAATCCCAAGTTTTGGATTGACTTTTGTTCTTTCTGTTGTGGCTGTTGGGTATTTGCTGCCACTGTATAAAGTTTCTGGCAGCTACCAAGTGATTAGCTATGGTGGGATCCAACATTTTCTTATGGAATGAACATTTCTGCCAAAGGTACTAGCCTGAAGCACAGCAGTGCTGCTTTTTAAAGAATCCAGACACATTAAACCACCTAAATTATTCCCTGTTCAATGCCAAGTCACCCAGCCTCTCCCTGCTCTGTGCTCAGGTCAGTCAATATGCCAAACGCTTCTTTCCCGTGAGCTGAGACCTCGCTCTGCGCCAAACCGCATCCACTGCTCTCCACCTTGGACCTCAGGGGAGAGGAAGGGATGCGGGCACATAGGCAAGACTCGCATTTCACAAAGTTCCTACCGATTTTTAGAAAGTTTGCAACAAAGCCCCAGACCTTAAAAGAACAGTGTGATTGCCACAAAGAACAGTGTGGGAAAACCAGTATACATGCATGTGCAGCCCTCCCACACGCATACTGACTACCCCAGATATAGGCATACCCACAGATCAGCACCTACACACAAATGTTTTTGACACACTTATTCTCAGCATCCTGTTCTCTTACAGCAGCCTCAGTTGGAGGAAGGGAGAAAATATGTTCCTTCTAACCTAATCTTCTAATGACCTTTCTGCCAGCTCCACTTTCCTGCCTATCTCTAAGCTGCCCGTGAGTGGTGATGGGAACGAGATCCCAATGTAGAGAGTGATTTTCCTCCTCAGAGGTCAGCAGGGTCTGTCTGCTAGATTGTGATGTGCTGCCCAATTGCTCTTAAGAGATTCAGGGTAAATAAGGAGATAAGAAAATTGTTTACGATCGCGTCTCTTGGGCCCCTTGCAGCTCTGCCAGAGTTCTTGCAGAGTCGAAGGACTGTGACTGTGCTGCAAACCTGGTGCAAGTGGGCTCCCATCGCCTCTTCCCTTCCTGGATTGTGAATTCCCTGCCAACAGGTCTCAGCCCTCTCATTCTGCCCTGCACATTTCCTACAGCTGCCTGCAACTGCAGGGAAGAAAAGCAAGAGAGCAGGCAAACGCGGCAGCATGTCACGGTGGCTGACTCCGAATGCTCTGATACAAGCTAATATTTAGAGGGTGACCATCTCAGCTTTTGTTGAGAGGTTTTTAGAGCTCTGTAAGACATGCTCAACGGCTGTCTTCCAAAGCTGTCCCGTGGCAGTCTGGGGGCTGTGATGGATTGTCCTGCCAGGAGACACCTGACTCCCTTGCTCCGTTCCCTCTCTCGGGGAGGATGCTGGAGATGGGCACTTCTGAATTGCAGGGCATTCCTGGCCTCCGCGCTGCCTGTCAAGGGGAGATTCATTAGCACCAAGGAGGCGATTTTCTCTCTTCTCTGCTCTGGAATTGGAGTCGTTTGTCTCGGGAAGGAGCCCAGGCGCCTTGCTCGCTGCGTTGGCAGCTTCTGCTCAAGGGACACAAGCAGTTCGTCAATAAACAAGGAGCCTGGGGAATGGCTCCAGCTGACAGAGGACATTATTAACGACCGGCGCTTTGGCCGAGGGTAGATCAGCCTCCCAATAGATGCTTTAAGAGGGGAAAGAGAAATAGAGCTAAAGATGGCAGCCTTGAGAGGAGCTGGGATTTTCGGCATACTCCTGCAAAGTCCCCTGCTGAGAGGCCCAGGGCTGGCACAGCCCCCAAGGAGTGACTGTATATTTCCCCAGCATCAGGGGTCCTCAAACTGGGACAGCAGGAGACAGGCCCAGCTCAGGAACAGTTTTGCTTCCCAGCCCACCAGGGGTAGGCTCTGCTATGGAGGTCTTCCAGGCCAGAGCTTCCCCATCCCCTCTGTCCCTCTCTCAGTCTGCCCTGGGTTCAAGGGGTGTCTTCCAGTATCTGCTACTGCAGCTTCTTGCTTTGGAGGGCCTGTGGACCTTTTTGCAGCTCCTTCCCAGGCCATGCAGTGAAGAAGGTATTGAGGGGATCTAAGAGGAGGCTGTTCTACTGCCTTCACTCTTGGGCAGTGCTTAGTACAAGGAGGAGCAAGAAACACCATCCCACATGGCCGTGCACTTCTGGCTGTGACTGGAACTAGAGAAGCTGTTGACTCTTGTCATAGTTGGGCTCCTAAACTCATCTCCTCAGGTGGAAGAAGCCTCTAAGCTCTAAAGCAACTGTTGCTTCACCTTACAATCATACTTAATTTGCCACAGCACCATCAGGGTGGAAGCAGAGAAATCCCTGCTTTGTTGTGACATTGACAGTTCATCCTTCTCTGTCCTACAGCCCTAGAGCTGCCAGGAGAGTGAGTCCTTGGCTCCTGCACAAAAAAGCACGTGGTGCAAGTGCTCAGCCCATGGGTTAGGTCTTTGCAGAGCCTTTTGTTTGGAACCACACTTGCAAACAAAGTTGTAAAATCATTCAGCTGAACACCTGAGTGTCCAACCAGCCTGCTGCATAGACAGGGTGTAGGATCAGTGTCATCTAGGTCTTCACAGTTCTTGAGGGAGATAGCTCTTCATGCCATGGGTTCTTATCACTGTGGAGCTGCAGCTGTGATGGCTTCATAGCTAAGGGTGCATTCTCTATCCTGTTCAGATCCTGTTGCCTGGGTGTGAGGGTGAGTTTTTTATGCAATTTAAATCTCTTTTCAGATTGAATGCTCTTATGCTCAGCCTGAGATCAGAGGAAAATGTACTGGGGACTCATCCCGTTTCTTTCAGAGATTATTCTGTTACCATAATAGGCCTAAAGTCCAGAGTTCAGAGCTGGCTCTAGGTTTAGGAGCTCCTTATTTATTCCAGGACTTGGGTTCTTGGAAATGGAATGGATGGATCCATTGTGTTGGCCCAAATTCTTTGCTTCACATTAGCCAGCCTGGGGCTGTTCAGGTTTAGGATTCAGGTGTGAGCCCATCTTTGGCAGACTTGTGCAGGTAAACCACCAGTTGATTTCTACTTGCAGAAAGCTGGAAAAACTTTACCACAAGACTGGCACAACATCTCTCCCTTGTGGTTAAAAATTACGATCCTGGGGTTGAGAGTGTTGTAGTGTCCCTGGACGGCTGCCTCCAGGCTTGCTTCTGCCAAAGCAGGAAAAGAATGAGGGACTTTTATGTCTGCTGGTATTTATAAGCTGAAAGAGGTCCCACCCAGATAAATGGTCCATTTCTGCTCCGAAACGAGCTCTGGACTCTGCTCCAAGCCCCTAAGAGAATTGCCTTCTGGCCAGCCTAGGTCTCTGGTGACTGAAAAGCCGAGAGGAGTTAGAAGGGGGGTGGGTAGGGATGCGATGTTCAGAGGCTGTGTGGAACTCAACTAGCTGGATTCACTGAACTCATCACTGAAATCACTTCTTGCGGTGCCTCTCTGTTTTAATTCTCCCTGAATCAGCCCTCTCCCAGGAGTGAAACAATCTTGCCTGCAGATTGAGGGGGGTGGGAGGGATTTGAACATTAATCTGATGTAGATTATACATCCGCCTCCCTCTCTCTCCCCTTCTCACTCTCTCTCTCTCCCTCTCTCTCCCTCTCTTTCTGTCTGTTTCTCTCCCCTCCCTCTCCTTCCTGCTTCATCTCTTCAAGAAAGTGAACATAAAGTAAAAACACGGAGAGAGAGAGGCAGAGAGAGAAAAAGCTCCCTGAAGAGGGAAGCCCCAGCAGCCAGTAGCTGTTTGGATTTGCCTGGCACTCCCTCTCTCTCCCTCTCTCCCTTCTCACTCTCTCTCTCTCCCTCTCTCTCCCTCTCTTTCTGTCTGTTTCTCTCCCCTCCCTCTCCTTCCTGCTTCATCTCTTCAAGAAAGTGAACATAAAGTAAAAACACGGAGAGAGAGAGGCAGAGAGAGAAAAAGCTCCCTGAAGAGGGAAGCCCCAGCAGCCAGTAGCTGTTTGGATTTGCCTGGCACTGCCTTTCTTGCTTTCCTCCCAAGGAATACCTTTAATGGGATCAATTGCTTCAGTTCCTTTATAACCAAGTCCACCGGAAAGGCAGACTCAACATATTATGGGCAACTGTGTGAAGTCTCCACTGAGAAACCTCTCAAAAAAGGTATGTTCCCTGAATCAAAGTGCGTTGTGCATTTCCAGCCCTGCTTCTTGGGATGGGTGACGTCGTGGGCAGATGGGAACGGGAGGTGGGAGAAACGCAGAGATGTGTACAAAGTGTTCAGCTCTCTTCACCAGTCTTTTTTTGTAAGAGCTGCTCATGCAAGTGCAGCCGTTAGAGCCCAGGATGCTGGGTGCCACAGCATGTGTGTAAATAAACGTGTGCGTATGCATGCACATGAGTAGGCTTGTGTCCTGCTTCGTGTGCGTGTGTATAGCTGTCCTCTGGGTACGTGCAAGGTTGTGCTTGTTGATGTGCACAGTATGCTGGCACACATCGTCTATACGGGCATCTTAATGTGTGTGTATACGTGTGAGTTTGTGTGTGTGTGTGTGCATGTGCTTCAGTCGAGAAGTATCTGCATGAGTCTAGTCGTGTGTCATTTCTGTAGGGACATATATTCATGTACATGTGAATGGGCATGTATCTGTACGTATTCCTGTTGGTGTGTCAGAATATGCACACCTGATGAGCCCATCTGAAGTATGTGTGTGTCCTTAGCTCTTTATGTCCCTACGTATGCATCCTGAGGTACGTGAGCAGGCGTGCAATGTTTGTTGTGAGTGTATAGGGGGGGAATTTGTGTGTGCCACACACATATCCCTGCTTGTATGGCGCTCTGTGTGTGTATACCTGCTAGTGGATGTCCTCCAGAAGTCTGTCTGTAACAACAGATGCATGTGTTGTTATGTATATCCATCCTTGCATATGCACACATCTAGTTTTGTTGGTATGTGTTTGGGTACAGAAGTGTGTTTTTCTCTGTGATCTGTTTGTCCATGCCTCTGTTTGTGAGTGGATACCCTGGGCCCCGGCTGTGTGTTTGTGCATCATGTCACACGTCAGCATGGCCCATGCGTCTACATGCTGGACTTCATCTGCGAGCTGCCATGTGTATCTGTTAAGGCTTCAACGCACTGTCTGCTCTGTGCTGAGGTTTTACAGTGATCCCAGGATGAATTAGATTCAGGAACGATTCTGCTGTTAGGGACTAGATTGAAATGGGAATGACATGCCCCAGAAATTTTTCTTGTTTGACTGAGGAAGGTCTTACAGCACTGTGTACCTGTCAGCCGCACGGTTCTCACTTAGCATTGCGGCAAATCTAATAACTCAGCAAAAAGCTATGCAATTCACTCCTCATAAATGAAAAAGTTATGCTAAGCATCCGAAGTATTGCAATGAGGAGCTACCTCTGTGGAGACCTTGCCAACAGTGAAGTGCCACTGCCATCAGGATGCTCCACCCAGGAGACCTTGCCACCCGGGAAAGCTCCTCTGGGAGGGAGCTGTTGGAGAGAGGACCTCCCTAGCAGGGAGTTTCTTCTGGCCGAGATTTGCCTCTTCTGTGTAGAAACACAGTTTGCTTGTTATCTCGGTTGCTACAAAGCCAGCAATGGCACAGTGCTGCTGCAGGGGAGCTGGGATACACGAGGAGGGCATTCATCACCAAGCAGTTAGACAGTGCTGAGACCAGTCTCTAGGTCAGGGTGACCTTCAGGGAGAGGCAGAAGTAGTTGAGGTTTACCCAAATGTTGCACATATGAAAAACCAGCTTGGTTACTTGTAGGTCACCTCCAACTTGCAATAAAAGGAGTTGGCTGCAGCTGTGCTCAACATGATCAAGGCGATTGCAATTAAAGTCTGACGTGTGGCCAGACTTCTCGAATCAAAATGGTTTCAAGAACTTATAAGCTCTATGTCATCAGTCTTTTAGGTAATTCATGCTTTCATTCCTAAAAGCTGCTTCAAATAATGCACTTTGTGCCTAGTTAGAAAGCCTGGAATGACAGGACTAAAGAGCAAAAGTTGCAAAGCTGAATTAGAGAATTTCTCAGACATCGCTCCAGCCAGCCATGAATTAAGGCCTCGGGCACTCATCCTGACAGGCCCTGGGGCTCTGCCGTTCTTTTGATCACGACATACATGATTAGAGTGGAGACTTTGCAGGTCAGTCTTAACATTGCACAACTTCACTTGGCTGTTTTATGATCCCGGTCTTTTTTCTCAGATTTTACCTTGGGCAAACTCATTTTGCTGAAAGGGTAAAGAGGAGGGACTGTAGACACCGTGTGTCAAAGCTGCTCTTGGGTGACAGACTGATCTCTTGAATACATGATTTCAACCCGAAATTTGGGAGTCGCTCCCAGGCACCGGCTGGCTTGGTCTGGGACTGGCTGACATGGGGGTACCTTGTCTGTTTTGGTGGCAATGCTCAGGCTTTGTCTCCACAATGTCCATTGTTGGCAGCTTCGCTTTCCCACTGTCACAGTATCCCCCTGGTGATCCCAGCAGCCAGCCTGGCTGCCTTTCCCTCTGAGAGGCACTGCAGTCAGGATGAAGAGGCCCCTCTGGGCTTGCCGCTCTGCAAAGTCCCTCTGACATGCAGGCAGGAAAATGAAGTGAATCCTGTTGTGCTTCTGCTGTGCAGAAAGAGAAAGCTTTGGCATCCAGGTCCCTCGCTTTGCCACCCTTCACCATCACTACAGCCATCTCTAAATCAGCCCGGTCTCTTCCCTCTCCACAATCTGCTGGTCTCACACAGCCAAGGGCCGGACTCAGCCAGGAAGGGTAGTGTTCCTTTGCTCGGGGAAGGGACAGGGAAAGCCTGAGCTCCCTAGTCCTGTCCTTGCATTTTCCTTGTGCACGCTGCTGTTTCCCCTGTAATGGGCGGCTGATGTTGCTTTGCCCTGTACCCATATCACAGCTCCCTTTCCGGCTCTGTTGGGATGTAGGAGAAACGTGGTGGAGGGAACTTGTGGGGACACTTGCAGGAGAAACCTGGGGGGCTGCTGGCAGAGGGAACATCAAATGCCATAAATCTTGCCTGCAGTGGCAGAGTGGGGCAGGGATCCCCTGTCGGGGTCTTGCTAAGAGGTGCACCTTGTTGTCCTGGCACTGCGTCGGGCTGTCTGGTCAGGATCCTTGGTGGCTCTTGGCAACTGTTTTGTCAAACTGGCAATCTCTATCCGCGCTGGAAAATAATGGGATGACCGTTCTGTGGTACTGCTCTGTGGCTTGGTAATAAACTCTATTGACTGGAAGGGTCAGCAAACAAGGATTAGGGGCTGTGGGGTCTTCGATCTTTCACGTGGCTTCGCTGGAATTAAACACAGAACCAATGTGGGCTATTTTAAGTGATTCATATTATTTGGTATATTAAACTGAAAAATGTGCCAGGAAATAAAGCTGATAATTTTGAAAATACATTGCACTGATATCACGAAGCTGTGCAGTTCAACACAGATGCCTTGACATTTAGCTGAGCTAGTAACATGCCATTTGTGGACGGATGCTCATCTTTCAGGTTTTTAAGGACAAGCGTCCTATGTGTCAGATTTAATCAGAGACAGATTTCTTCCTCATCCGTGACTGCAACGAAAATGCTTTTCTGCTTCATCATTTTCTTTCTCCATGGCTTGCTTTTTGAGTTGTTTTTGTTTTGATGCTTGATATTCACATGACATTATACATGAGCAGATTGGTGTAAGACTGTGTACAAAAATGTGAACTACAAACCATGTGTGCAATATAATAGCACATGGCAGACACAACAAGTAGATACAATAGACTCGGACAAGTGTGAGTGGGGGTGTGTGTATGTATCTGGTCTTTTAGCCTGAAAAAGCACCTCCGGCTTTAAGGAAAGGGTTAATAGAGACAATGACAATTGACAGAGCTTCTCTGATCACCCCTGGGAACACTGGCTGTAAAAGTAGAATCATTCCTGAAGAGGAATCTGATGTATGATTAATGTTTATTCTATAAAACCAAGGGTCCTGTGGGTTGTGCTGGCTTTTTATAGCTGCATGGGAATATCAGGATAAGAGTTTTCTTGCAGAGCCAGGGAAATGCATTTCTATAAAAGGAAAGCAGTGCCTCCTTATAAAATCCAGTGCTGGATTCTGGTCTGGAGCCCTAGCTTAGCAGGACGTGTGCACTTAGGAAAACGTGCAAATGCAAACAGACAAAAATGTTGTGCTCGTGCCTGATCTCCACTTTGGGGCTGTCAGTGATTAGAAGAGGCCAGTGCAGTATATGCCTGAGACCCTGAGGATGGAACTAATTAGAAGTGGCATAGGGAGTGTGAGCCTGCAGTGGGCAGAGCCACCTGATGCTGTAAGCAGCCTTCTAATAATATTATAAAGCGTGTGATGCTGTGTTGCTGAAATGTAACACGGAGCCTAACGCAGGGTCTTTGTGCAGGCTCTGCCTGGTCTCCTGGGGATGCCCTGGCCGACGTGGCTTTGTCAGCAGCTTCACCCTGGGCACAGGCTGGCACATGTACTGTTAGGTTGGGGCGAGCTCATCCTTTGCAGCTCATTCAAGGGATCGTTAACTCTGGGGCTGATAGTGGGAGTGTGGCCTTTGGGCTGTGTCTGGGTAGATGTGAGCAGTGCTGAGAGTTTGATGTCATTTCAAAGCAAAATTCTCCTGGTTGGTTGTACTTCTATCAGCTTTTGAAAGTGAACTCCTGGACTTACTGCTTCTGTACAAATCCTAATAGACCAGTGGGGGGGACGCAGCATGGACCAGATGAAGGAAATTTAGCAATAATGTCTCTGCGAGGTGGTTCATAAAACTTCAGAGGAACGACTGGGCGAGATGGGGAGGTAACATCCTCTGTTGTGTTGTTTGCTTGCTGCTGGTTGGCTGGGAAGATCCGCCATGAAGAGAAGACGTGCTATAAGGCTGTCCAGACGAGCGAAGACGGGCCGTCGGCTTGCGAGTACCAGGGTCCGCTCATGGTGCTGGCCCAGAACTGCGCCGTCATGCACAACCTGCTGGGGCCAGCATGCATCTTCCTGAGGAAGGGCTTCGCAGAAAACAGGCAGCCTGTACGTAAGTTACACCCAGCCGGGCGAGACACGCACAAAGCCACGTGGACGTGAGCCGGGGATGCGGAGCTGCCCGCACGCTCCATCTGCGTGGAGCTCTGTAACCCCCAGCCCTGGGTCTCGAGCATCCCGGCTCCAGCTCCAAGTGCAAATACAATCACAGGCAAATGTCTAACCCGAAGGATGTGCAGAGATATCCCCATGCATAAACACCAAGAAAGGAGGAATCTAAAAATGCAGCTATGGAAGATAGATCCAAGCCTACACTCAAGTAGGCATAATCATACGGACTCAGGAGAAGGACTTAGGACTTCAGGACTTACATAATCATATGGAGTCAGGAGGAGTCCAGTGTTCAAAGCTGTTATTCCAGCAAGACATCCACATCTCATTCCCAGAGGCTCAGATTAGCATTTAAGGCCTAAATAGCCACTTAAATGCAAATCAGGACATCCATATTGGGAACAAGCCATCCCACAGAGATGCCCATATTTGATACTGCTCCTATCAGCTCACAGTGAGCACGCTAGTACCAGCAGAAATAAGCATGCATCTGCCTCCTCACAGATACCCAAACGCAATCTCTTATACACTATCATACACAGCCCGACACTGCAGCAATCCCAGCCAAATAAACCAAAGAACATCAGTCTGTCCTCGTATTTGCAAATAGTGCCAGACTACCAAATGCTATTACCCATACACACACAAATCACAGTGAGCACGCTAGTACCAGCAGAAATAAGCATGCATCTGCCTCCTCACAGATACCCAAACGCAATCTCTTATACACTATCATACACAGCCCGACACTGCAGCAATCCCAGCCAAATAAACCAAAGAACATCAGTCTGTCCTCGTATTTGCAAATAGTGCCAGACTACCAAATGCTATTACCCATACACACACAACAAAACTACATCCATCCATCCCCAGTCACACCTATTTGTAACTATGTGTTCATATGCATCTAATGTATGCATTTATATACCAAAAATAAAAATATGTGTTTGTATGTAAATTCAAATGTATACACCTGGACATGTTAAATATACAGAAATACGCACCCCGGTATTGTATCTTTACAAGAAGTAAAACATATTTTTGCACATAAACATTTGATTGCTACAATAACATGAATTTAAAGACATACACAAACATATTATTAACACACTTTTTATGGATACGTATGAGTGAATATGTGCACTGTCAGATATTCATCCAGTGCATCCCATGTTCTTCTGGTGAAACAAAGCTCACCCCAATTACCTGAGAGTCAGAGCTTTCTTGCCTCTGTAAGAAATCTCTGTCTTACTCGTGCATTCATATGGTTATCTACAGCTGTGGGAGACACCTAGATCTTCATCTCTGAAACCTCTTCTTCAACCAACAACCCAAAAAAGAGTCATTATTTGTCATTATTGATCAAATAGCTTTTGTTCTTCCTAACCTTCAGCCATTAAGTGATCACATATTCCTTGGTTCACTAAAACACAAAATGTAATATTCTTACACAAGCACACGTGCACACATGCACAGAGCTACCCAACATAGGTCCAGCTCCCTAGTGGAAGGCTCACAGCTGGACAGGTATCCATCCTGTTTAGGCCCTGGAAACTCACAGTGCCATAAGAAGTTTCCAGAACAGGATTAGTGATGTCTCTAACTACCCTGGTGTAGAATAAGTGCATCTGATAAACAGCTTTACTTTTACTGACTCTAGAGACCAACAGGATCTATTGTGCATAGAACAGAAATAAATGAGGGTAAGACCATTACGTATAATGGACTCTCTGAGGGTCACCTCTGCTCATATCTAGGAGCTAAACTCTCTGAACAGTTTTATTCCTCTTTCCATATGTTCTCCAAAAGCTTTAGAGTGATTCAGCCCATTTCTTCCCAAGCAATTTTCCTCCTTTATCATTTTAGGGGATCTTCTTTCAAATTTAAAACAGAAAACCTCTTCCTGACGTTAGTTATTGCTTGAGTCAGATTTTTGGAGGGACGTAAACCCTCCCCCTCCTTTTGCATTCACAGTCTGTGGCTCTCTGGTGGTAGAATCTGCATGTGCAAAGATACGCACAGAGCCCTGCAAACGCAAATGCCTTGGTGTGCAAAATTAGAGCCGGTGCTGAATCCCCCATTTCTGACATGTTTCAGTCATGTTGGTTGCAACGTGGTCTTCAGTGAGTAAGGAGGAGAATGGTCTTGTGATGACTGCACTGGAGGAAGGCCCAAGTCCTACCCCAGCCACTCTCACAAGACAGCAGTTACCGCGGGTGAGTCACAGCACCGTTTGCACTGTGGTGGTTGTAATCATACCCCTGCATCTGCTGCCGTGCCGATCGGCACACAGCAGTATCTCCAGGGACTAATGTTTGCGAACTCTGGAATGAGGTGCACAAGGTGTTGGTACTGATCATGGGTGGCTTTCATCTGCTATTTTGTCTAAGGCAGGAGGGCAGTAATGCCTCCTGCATCCGGTCTAAGGAGTTTGAATTGTTTTATTACTTGGTGTTGATGAAAGCAGAACAAATGGGATGACATGTTTGAAAATACCGGGTCTGTGAAGGATGAAACGGCAGAGCCAGCGTGCTCCAACAGTTCCATCCAGCACAGAGATGCCTCTGGGAAGGTTATGAGTGGTAAGCTGGTCATTTTTCTGGCACAGCCCACTTTTGCACAGACGTAAGCCAGTGTGTGTCCTAGTTTGCTATGCACTCTGAGCAGCTGCCATTAGAGTTTCCAGAGGAGCCTGTAGTTAAATAGCAAAGGATCATCCTTCTCAAACTGATCAAGGGCACCGTTTCCAGGGACGTGTGGTGAAGCTGGAGGACACCTGGAAGGCAAGGAGAAACTCCCCACGGTTGAGGGGAAAAGCTGAGAGTGAGACGACAAAAGAGATCGCGTTTCTGTGTTTCCAAATTCTCAGATGTTTTGGATTTGCCCGGGAGCCATGAGAGGAATTAGAAAGGGCATTTAAACCAGAAAGCAGTGCATTTCCATGCTCATCTCTTCTTCCTGGTCCAGTGTTGGAATTTTCCTATACTCTTTTATATCCTCCCCCTTCTTCCAAGAAATTCAAATTGGATGTTTGAAGTTGCAGTGTTTCCTGAACATGGTGAATCCTTGTCCTGTTTTGTTTTTAGATGACCTTCATGATGTATATGTTGTGTGTCTGCCTTCATGCCTGGTTTCAGAATGCTTGTGTATGGAGTTGAGGCCGGGGGGAAGGGGGAAGTTCCTACCTTTTTGTGGGGACTGACTGTAGGAGATGGCACTGGGACGCTGGCTGTAAGAGAGCTCGTGACTGTCACTGTCCTGCCAGAAGGACAGGGATCAAGCAGTGATCCAAGCAGACGATGGTATAGACCTGCTGGTTACAGGGACTGCTTCCAGCTGTTTTGATCTGGCTGTGTCAGCGGGAGGTGCGGTAGGAGATACAATCAGAGCTCTAGAGGAGATCATAACTGCTGCAGGGACAGTCTCTGCTCCAGACTTGGTGCTGGGGAATGATGTAGGAGCTTCACAAAGGTGCTCATAGTAGCATCAGGTGGGGATGCCACACGTATTGCTGTGCTGGCCCAGGTCTCTTCTATTTTGAGGGAGCACCCGTCATCCCCCTGTCCAGCAGATGAGAGGGAGAGGGGCTTCCACAGAAAAGTGTGCAGGCTAACACCCCTCCCTCTGGGGAGGAGAGCTGGGAAGCCTTGCTAGGTAGATGGTATTAAACATGTCATCACCTTCTTGTTTCTTCTCTCGCTTTCTGGCTTGTCCCAGAACTGTTTGCACCAACAAGTGCTATTCTGAAACTATGTTTGTGGCAAGCAAATGGCTTTAACATAGTATGTTCTCTTTCTGCAGGATAGAGAACTGCGTCCGGAAGAAATTGAAGGTAAAATTTGTCACTCCTTCTGTGTCACCTTACTCCCTGCCCAGTGAAAACCTGCTGGCTGGCCCTTCCAGGTTGGCCCCCGTGGGGTAAAATAATTTGGGGCAAATCAAGGGAGATGATTACTGGAATAATTCCTGGAAACCCCAGCAAAAGAAATAATATGTAAAACTGCAGGAGTGCTGACTGTGAAGGAATTTGCATCCATTCCAGCTTCTTCAGGGTGGGAGGATAAGTAAAGTAATGGGATATTGGCTGTCAGGGAACTGCTGTCCACCCCAGCTCCCACAGAAAGTGTTGTAGAGCATGATACAACAGTATGGCTCCAGGGAAGCTGTTTTACCTGCTGATCCCTACAGTGGGGGCTATATAATGCAGTGCAGGGGTAAAAGTTGGGAAAACTTATTAGTTTCAGTTTCTTTAGGGAGTGCAGTTTAGCAATGATCAGTTTGTGACACTTGTAGTCCAAGCAAGCTTTCCTGTAAGGAACGGGTCAGCAGTGCTGCTGATAGAAGAGCTTAACATTGCTGCAGTCATTGCCTCTTTGCAGGGCGATCTGCTGGGAAAATATGGAGTATCTTAGGGAGTCTGGCCTCATAAAGTGCTGCTGATTCTGGGGAGGTTTCTTGGAAAAGGTATTTCAAGCCGTCACTGACAATATTGTTCTTTTTGGTTCCACTCCCACAGAATTAAGAGAAGCCTTCAAGGAGTTTGATAAAGACAAGGATGGGTTTATTAACTGCAGGGACCTGGGGAACTGCATGCGAACCATGGGCTACATGCCTACTGAGATGGAGCTAATAGAGCTCTCCCAGCAGATCAACATGAACCGTGAGTAATATCCACCCAGCTGTACCTCCCTGTTGTTGCTGTGTCTTGCATCATTGCCTCGGGCTCTCTCAGTCTCCTGCTGTCTCTTTTCCTTTGGATTTCCCCCCCTCTTCTTTCCGTTCTCATTTTCACGCCCTATCATCTCTCCTGTTTGCTTGTGGTCCCTAGAAGTTGATGCCTTTGTTTCTTGCTTATCAAAGAGACTGTGTGGACTGTGCTGTATGGGAACAGTGAGTGAAAGGGTTGTCCTTCGTGCTTATGCTGTCAGGTATAAAACTGCTCTTGATGTGGGCCGTTAGACATCGGTGCACAGGTTGTGGGTGTTGTCATATTGAAGCTGTTGTCAGATGGTGTCAGACTGAAGAAAGAGCCTGGGAAGATGGAGGTGCTTTGGTCAGATGGGTGATGGATGGGCTGTTCACTCTGCAGTGGTTGTTTGTGGATCTGCTGTGTGCCTGGGGATGGGCTGCAAGCGAGCTGTGCTGGCAGTGTCAGATGGGGGCATCTGCTGGAGTCATGGAAAAATGTGACAAACGTGTCCAATTCACTGTGACTGTGTTTGTGCCCCTTGTCTTTCACCATCATTTTTTGTCACCTCTTGTCTGTGGCAGTGCAGGGTATTACCCTCAGCCAGGTGGGAAAAAGGATATTTAGTGCATGTTATTTCTGACACATGATGATGTAAAAAGGACAAGTTACTTGGACAAGGGAAGGAAAACAGTTGTGGCATATGCAACCAGTCACACACAAAAGCAGCTGATAACCCTGGCATACAAGTGCTTAGGAATTTGAGAGTGTTACTGCCAGCTTTCAGATAGGGGACAAACAAGGAAAAGGACTAATACAATGAATAAACAGTTGGACATACGTTAGCCACTGCTAATGGAACAAGATTCCACCACTGCTGCAGGGCACTGCCCAGGCCATGCAGGAACATCATGCTGTGCCCTTGCCGTACGTACCCTTTGGCACAGGCGCAGCAGAGGGTTGCTATAAGCACTAGAATGATCAAGCCTCTAATACCTAGTACGTGATGCCATAAGGATGTGACAGTCCCTGGCAGCCTAGGATGGAATAGCTTGGGCTCATTCCGCCTAGCCCGCAATCCAGAAAATATAAAGACAGTGTAAAACTACCTCTGCTTTTCCTTCCACTGTCCTGCGCCTTCTGTGCTTTGCTTCCTGGAGAACCAAGCCCTCTCTGGGGCACACAGAAGTGCAAAGTGAGTGCTGGGCTTGGCTAACGTATGGAGTTCTGACACACGATCTTTCATCCTGTCCCAAGTGGGTGGCCATGTGGATTTTGAAGATTTTGTTGAGCTGATGGGACCAAAACTGCTGGCAGAAACTGCAGACATGATTGGTGTAAAAGAGCTCCGTGATGCCTTCAGAGAGGTGAGTGCTCCCTACCGCGTGCCCCCCCGAGAGGTGAGCAACAGGAGACAGGAAAGAGAGAAGACCCACTGGGGAAGAGAAGAGGAGGAGGAGAGAGCAGCACAGTGGAAGGCAGAGAAAGAGCCAAGCCAGGCATGAAACAAGGGAGGAGCAGAGAAAGTCACTAAGATAAGGGAACCTTTGAGGCAAGGAAGAGGAAAGCTGATGCAGACACAGGAGTTATGAGGGGTTTCTGAGGAGAAAAGACAGACTGGATCCAAAAGGCACCCAAAGGAGGAAAAGGAGGGACACAAAAGGAATGCAGGAAAAGTAGGGCACTCAGGAGCAGGACAATACAAAATCCAACCTAGAGCAAGATCCATTTCCATTAACTGTACTTCCCCTGCTGGTATTTTTCATGTACTTGCAGTTTGACACCAATGGTGATGGGGAGATCAGCACCAGTGAGCTGCGAGAAGCCATGAAGAAGCTACTAGGGCAGCAGGTGGGCCATCGGGATATTGAAGAGATCATCCGGGACGTGGATCTGAATGGAGATGGGCGTGTTGATTTTGAAGGTGAGAAGGGATGAACGCTCCCTGTCCATCTGCTCTGGTGTGAGTCAGAGTTTCAGCTCAGAGGCGGAAGCAGAAGGGAAGATTTGCATGCTCAGGGCCCAGATATCTGAAGTATGGAGAAGAAATCAAACAAGATTTTTTTTTCCTAGTCAGCTGAGGAGAATGGAGAACATTGGCCCACACAGGAAATTCCTCAGCTGAAGTGTTCATTTGTGTACTGCATCTCAGTTTCAATTGGGTCTCCATAACTCTAGCATGGTAAGAGGGATGCCCTGTCACAGAGAAGCAGGTTCTGGTGCACACATGCTGTGCCAGCCTTCTTTTTATGGGGCATTTTCCTTTCTGTTAAATCTATTGCAAGAGCTGTGAGGAGGCTGGATTGGTTTGGAGAATGCATTGCACCTTCCATTTCCTCTGGCTCACCTTGTTATCTGGGCTTATAGAGAATTTGTTTCTGTGCCTTTATGCCAGAAGATGGTCATGTGCCAGATGTGCTCACTAGGACTGCAGATATCTGATCTAGAGGTATCATGTGAAATCCTAGAGAGAATTCATTTCTTCTCCCACTTTTCATGCCAGAAGGACTTGGAAAAATAAGAGTGGTTAGGCTACTATCCTAGCCATTAGCCATGGCAGGAGCAATATTAATAGAGCTCAGGGTTTCTGGCAAGGGAAGCAGTCGATATCAGACAGCTAAGCGGATATAAGAGCTGGAAGGTGTGAGAGCATGGCAGGCTGCTTGTTTTCCTAGTGCAAATCCAGATGTCCCTTTGCAGTAAGGGTGAAGCACAGGAACTACAGAATTAAAATAAAATTTTTTGGCTCAGAGGCATTTCTGAGTCTCCTACATGACAAGGACTCTCAGTCCTCAGGGTTACTGAAGCTTCTGAGGGCTTTGAAAATGCTAAAAAACTGGAAGTGTCTCCCTAGAAAGTATCTGGTAGCTGCAGTTGTTCTAATGCACTGGCTGATTACATGACAGTAGCTCTCCTTGCTTCCCGCAGCTAAATTATGTTAGACAGCTAAAATACATGAAATGCTATCCCAGTATCATTTTCTCTGTGAGTTACTGCTTTAGTTGTCAAAGGACAGCTCCATCAATGGAAAAGGAGAAGTCAAGGGGGTAATTTCCACTGCCCTCCTCTTTGAGGAGTTATTAGTTCCTTGGCAATTCAAGTGCAGAATGAAAACACATTTATATTTGATGGCATTTACACTCGATTTCAACAATTGTAATTGACTTCACAAGCTGCAGGGTGGTGAAGAGAGAGATCCAGGGTATCCTTACAGTTAACCTGTATCTTTAAAAACAAGAAGTCCATCAAAGTAAACTTTTTTCTACAAAATGCTGGTACCTACCAAAACACTAGTGTTTTCCCACACTGGTGTCTCTGTGAACTGGCAACCTTACTAAGAAATCATACTGTGTTCCCAAGACTATAAATCAAGGTTCCCTGAAGTTACAGTGAAGGGAGACAACACTTGCAGTAGTGTCTTACAAGGGGTTGCTTGTGCAAACAAGACTGTACACTGGCTGGGAAGGAGTCCGAGGCAATGAACTGACCTGCTAGTGGGATCATATCACCGTATGTAATGCAAGGATTAAAGCCCATTTTGTGTGAGCTCTCCAGGGCCAGTCATGGAGTGGCACAGACCTGCTGGCAGTGTGTGGACTCTCGGTTTCACCCTGGCTGCATGCTATCTCCAGGGAATGAGAGCTGGGTTGGGGACCATGGATGCCTTCTGCTTCAGGGCTGTCTTTTCTTGTTGATTGCAGAGTTTGTTCGCATGATGTCCCGTTGAAGATTATTCTCAGCTAAAGAAGAATCAGCACCTTAGAGAGGGCAGAAGAGGACCTAGATGGAGCATCTAGCCCCGATGTTCCCGCATGAAGGTTTATCGGCTGGCTGCAATTGGGACATTGCAAAACGACCTGCTGCTCCTCCCTCATGGTGGTCCCCATGCCCCTCCACCCTTTCACACTGTGAAAGACTTGCAACTTCCTACAACTGGAACCATTCCTTGGAGATGATTGCAGGAAACTGCAGAGCCAGGACTTGCCATGATGCTTTCATGGGATATTTGCAACTTTAGACTCCTCCTCCCCAGCTTTATTCTCCCACCAGCTGCTGCAAAGCAAGAGCAGGAGAAATCCTCTTGGCTTGGTGGATGAGAGCAAAGCCATTGGGACTGGTGGCAGCCTCAGGGCGTGCTCTGCACTTCTTGGTTTCCCTTGGTGAACCGTGTCTGTGTTTGCTGTCTGTGTGTGTGTGTCTGTCTGTGTGGAGTTATTTATGCTTCCTCGGCACATATTCGCATCTCCTGTGGTTATGTTTACCAAGAGTAAATTCAAATACATGTCTTGCGGGGGGAAAGCGATAAATATGCACGCTAAAATGATGTGGAGCCTGGACGTCCCTGTGAGAGGTGGTGGCTGGGCTGGGGGAGAAAGGCTGTGGCAGATGCACACCATGGCATCTGCATCGGAGTCCAGAGGCAAGCCCTTGCTGCAGGAAGGGAAATCACTGCCGGCCACTAAGCCTGTGGCAGGGCTCTGCCCTCCCTCCTGCTGTCCTCATGGCGAAGGGGCCTGGAGATGCCTCTTGGTGAGAGGAGGGTCTCCACCTCTGCATCCCCCTGGCTTGCAAGGGGGCAGGTGAGAGCCCCTGCGGCGGCGTGGCAGGGAGCAATGGGAGAAAGGGCACAGAGGGGAGCTGGGTGGGAGGGGGATAGGCAGCAATAGCCAACCCCCCCCTTTTCAGACCATTTCAAACACAACTGTGAGCATATGCACAGTGAGGGCCGTGCTGCGGGAGCTGAGCTGTAACACCGTTGGTGCCAGGAATTGGCCGGGAGCCTCCTTGTGTGGCAGTGCCCTGCTCTCCAGATTGTTCGGACTCAAAAATGCTGCATGTGTCTGCAGCGGTGACAACAGCAGCCTCCAGGCCCTACCAGCTGCTTCCAGACACATCTGATGCTCATCCTCCTTCCCCTTTCCCCAAGATGCTCCCAACCTCCTGCCCCCTTCCCCTGCTCTGCCAGACCTACAGTTGTCCCCTTTCTCTATGCAGAGGCTCAGTCACAAGTTGCCAGGACTAATTTCTGCTTGGCTTCAAAGGGCATCATCATTGCTGTGTGTTTCTCAGTGTCACTGGGAGCTGTTTTCCTCTCAGTTGCCCCCTTACTCCAACTGGGAGGTTAGGGACCCATATCCTCCTGCTTGCTCCATCTCAAATCTTTCACTTCCCAGGTTCCTTTTCAAATTCTCAGGGTCCACAAATCCATGTCCCAAAGGAGGATTTTCTCTTCTGCTTTCCTGTTGCTGTGCCAACCAGCATAGCCGCAGCGATGGCTGATATCCCAGCAATGGAAAAAACTACATTTCTCCTTATATTTGTGTGTGTGTGTACCCGTGTTTGCACAGGCGTGTACACTGGGAAAGGTTTGTGTGTGCGCACATAAAAGCAGGGAGTGCAGATACGTACCTGGGAGTGCAGCAGTAGAAGAGTTTGTTTGCAAGTGGGTGTATGCAAACTATGTGTGTGTATCTATGGAGCTGGTCCAGTCTTAGAAATGTGGGTGTGAACCAAGAAATTGGAAAATGGATATTTACAGATCTCCATATTTACTGGTACAGCAGCTGCATTGTGCTTAGGAAATGAGGGTGATAAACTGAACAGAGTCCAGAGTCCTGGTAAGTTATATATGTACTTAGGATAATACTGGGGAGAGACCTGTGCGGGCTTGTGCCTGCCATAGGGAGTGTTTGTACACAAACGTGCTTCACTTACAGTGGAGCCCGTTGAGGAAGAAGCGTGCGTGTGTATGCAGAGCAAGAGGACAGCTGCGCTGCTTGCCTGTATGCATCAGAGTGACTGTGCCTGCCCACAGGGACCAGTGAAGACTTGGGGCACGCGTCTTGTGCCATAGCCAGCATTCACAAGCCTGGCGGACAGTCAGTGGCAACAGGCACAGTGCCTGCCGCTGCCTGCTCCTTCCCGGGTCCTGCACCAAGCAGCCGCATTTTTTGCCCGCAGCGGCAGATGGCAGGACACGGTCTTAATTTATCTAAAATTGTAAACCCATTTCTAGAGGCTGCACTGATCCACAGCGCAGCATCACGGTGGCTGGGGATGTTCTCTGTGAACTACTGCCATTTTCATTTAGGCAGGTCCCTGTGTTTGTATCATGCCAGAGCTGTGTTTGTCTTGCCAAGAAATGCAGGGACACCGGTGCTAGGGGAAGGGTGGCCGCAGGACACCTTTGTGTCATTGCAGAGGCAGTCCTGGAGCCACAGCTACTTCTGAGGAAAGTTGGGTTTCTGCCAAATGATCTGTAGCTCTTTTCTGCCAGGTCTCACCGTGATACAGTGAACAGGTCAGACAGGGCAGGTCTCCAAAGCATTATTTTTTTTTTCCCTTCCAGCAGCAGCTCTTGCTGCAAGCCTGGTTTTACTTGCACAACAAACCCCAAATAATCCCAGGGAGTTTTACTATTTTCTTGTGCAGACAGGGTCAGAGATTAAAGCTCCAATCTAAATAATCTAATTCCAGAGATAATCCTTTTGCTTTTATCTCCAGTCTGGTACCAAGGAAGCTTCCAAATAGCTCCACATGGCAGGGCAGAGCCGGTCCCCTCTGGACACCTGAGCCCTGTAGCCCCATGTGGTTCGGGAGCTGGCCCAGGCAGTGGGCCTGGCTCACGTTGACTTCTTAGATGTCTCATTAGCCGTGAGATCTGCTTCTGACCCACACGTCTCCATTGCTCTTTTTGGACATCCCAAATCCCAATTCCTTTTTCCTGCAGGAAATGGCTAATACCCAAAGCACGTGCCCCACACCGTTCGTGAATGATCAGGGCTGTAGACCAGGCAGGACTGATTCAAGACTGACAGTAATTTTGGCACAGCTGCCAGGGGACAGGGAGAGATCAAGGGATTGAGAAGACAACCCTGAGCCTTTCACTTGTAGGTTACTGGTGTAAATCCAGCCTGCATCAAGGGACTGATGGCTCAGTGGATTAGTAACAGGATACAGAGCCTTTGACATCTGGGGCACAAGCTGGCATCAAGTTGTTGGTGACCGCAAGTAATGATTCAGGGGCAGCAGTGTAGGACATCATGGATGCAGGCCATCACAGCACGTCTGCTATCCTCTGCCAGCGGCCGTGGCCAGACCGTGAGCCAGGGTGAGTGCTCTTTCTGCACCCGGATGAGCACAGCCACTATCCCTCCTCACTTGCTGCTGCTCAGTTAATCCCTCTTGCTTCATGACAGGCTGCTGATTCTTGGGAAATAATCATCCAGGCTAGTTATTAGAAGATGCTCTGACTGGGGAGGCAGAGGAGGTATCGCAATGCTCAGTGCCTTGCCCTCTAAAAAGGCTGAGTCCTCGGATGGAGGGTAAAGAGAGGGGTTTTCCCCTCTGTCCAAGGAGGGGAACTCTTCCTTGTCAGGGAAACTCTTCTCTTTTCAAGGAAGAGTTGCTGATATTTTGCTGTGGCATGTGCAGGAGCCCCGGGAGCCCTCAACAGGGACCCCAGGCTTGGCACAGGCACAAAAACCCCTGGTGACACTCCCAAGGCAGGGGATGAGCTGGGTTAGCTCCCAGCTGCCCTTGTACACATCTGGGGCCAAAGAGGCCCCTTCAGCTGAGGGACCTGTCTTGATCATACCTAAATGTTAGCTAGTAAATCTCTTCATGTCTGAATTCCTGCTCATGGGCACGTTTGGTCTGGGCTGAGCAGTTTGATGCTGGGTTTGTAATGAAGCCCCAGTCACCGGCCCCTATGCCCACTGAGGCAGCAAAGGTCCCGCCATGAGCCTCACACTCCCCAGCTCACCGAGAGGCACAACAAGGTTTCAGCCAGGCTCTGCCCAGCCAGTGCTCGGGCCCCCGCTGCCATTTTGTGTGTGTGTGTGTGTGAGACCTACGAGGGCCCTGCTGACCCGGGGGCCAAGGGGCCAGTTGCCTCAGGCCACTTGGGCCACGCAAGGAGCTGTGTGTGGCCCTCGGCAGGACCTTTGCTGCCCTGGTGGGTCTCAGGACTGGAAATATGAGGATTTGCACCCATGGACACTGCTGTTCGTAACCTCAACCCTGCTGTCTCCTCGGCCCGCTGATGATTCACAGCATCCCTCTTCTCACTTCACTTTTGCAGCTCATGACAGTAATGTGGTGACACACAAAGCGTTTACATGCTTTGAAGTCGCACTCTTGACCCAAGCACATTGCAGTTTAAGCTGAAAAATCTTGAGAGATTAGGGAGGATCATCTGTAATCAGTACAAATGAGCTCTAACGAGGCCTCCCTCGGCCTTACCAACCAGACAGCATTGTTCTGGCCACGGCTGCTTGCACTCCTTTGCTAACTGAACTTGGGGGACACCCAACAGGTCACAAACACAGCAGGGATATGGGAGATTAGTCTGGATTTGATCAGATGCTGCCAGGGCTGGGGTCTGTAATGCTGAGATGATTTGCCAGGAACCAGCGTGAGGTGGCTTAATCTGGAGAGGTGCTAAGCATGTGTGTTTTACACTGCTGTTCTGGATGTGGTTTCCTAAGCCACCTTGCAGTTTCAAGAACCCCTTCCCCGGCATGGGAACACAGCAGTGCCATGTCTGCCCTGGCCCAGTTATACCACGAGCCCGAGAGCCAATGTGACAGCAGCAAGGACGTGCTCTGGGGCCCACTCTGACCTGGGCAGAGCAGGTTAGGGAGCAGCGGGTGGGTGGTTACTCTCCCCTCACCAAACGGACTTCACTTCTCCAAGGTTGTGTCCTGTTAAGAGGCCTCCGAGGTACATTACAAAAGCAACAAGCCCATTTAATTCACAATCTGCAGCTCTAAGTCTTTATTTCTAAAGGCAAATGCATTGTGGAAGACCCAAATTAATAAACTGTCATTGGGACTTAGGAGCAGCCACTGCTAATGCAGTTGGTGGCCAAAGTGCAGACGCGAGGCTTGGCTGGCATCTGAAGCTTTGGGGAACACCAAGATCAGGCAGAAGGGCAAACACGGAGGCAAACATTAAGTTATTTGCTCCCCCCACCATGTAGTGAGTGAGTTTCATCCAATCTCCATCTGTGATGTCTCACTCCAGCCCTCCCAAGACCTCACCAAGGTCCTCCAGAAACAGGATCTTACGTTCTCCTGTAAAATGCAACACAGGGAGAAAAAACACTGGCAATGTAATGGTTAGCTCCCCCACCTTCCTCTTTTACTGGCTGTTTTACTTTTCAAGCAGATTATTGTGGTCCAAAGTGGTTGCACGCCACCCAGCTGTCTCACTCCTTACCGGGCGGGCCGGTAGCTGCCTTTTCCCATGGTCCATGGCAAGGAAAAACCAGCGTGTGTAGCGTGGGCAGAGAATCGGTATTGGAAGTTGCTGTTCAGAGTACAGCGGACACGAAACTGCCGGGATGTAACGAGGGGCCGCCCCCCACGGCAGCGGAGCTCCCACTCCCCCAACTCCT